CTTCCTTCCCCTTGCCTCCCCTTGCCTCATCTTGTCTCCCCTTGCCTTCCCTTGCCTCCCCTTGCATCTTCTTGCCTCCCCTTCTTTCCCCTCCTTCCCTTCCATCTCCTTCCCTCCCCATCCCTTCTCTTCCCTCCCCTTCCCTTTTCCTCCTTCCCCAACATGTGCCAGTAAACATCGTAAATTCTGCCTCCCTACCCTGGAATTTTATTATACCCATTATTCAAATCCTGTATTTTATTCCTGTTCTTCCAACCAATAGGAGGGCTGGGATTCACCAGAAAACATCCAATAAATATCTTCAATCTTGAATATCAAGCAAATTATTTAAATATTCAAGAATATTCAAGAAAATGTTCAAATGGAATATATTTCTTATTTTTAACTAGAATTTTATTTTAGATTTTAAATCTATATTTAAATTGGTCATTAAAGTTATATTTTTATTTATTGAAGTAAATATTATTTAAAAAAAGGCATTTGTGTTAAAAAAATATGATAATAAAAAATGATATTTCTAATGATAAAAATTATATTTCCATCGATACTTCTGCAAACAAAATTTATATTTCTTACTATAAAAAACAATAATGAATTCATTGTTAAAACAATGTTTTAAACACTACAAATTATTTTTCTCAGAATAAAACTTCTTTTTTTCCTATTTATTTTTTTCTATAAGAAATATGAATTTATTTAAAATTATGTTTCTACAGAAAATGAAGAATATTTTTATGTTTTACTGTTGAGATGTTTTTAATGATAAAAATATTATGTCTAAAGAAAAAAAAGAGCGATTTTGTTTTTGAATTATAATAATTGAATTTTTTTTAAGCGTTAAAAACTTAATTGTTGTTTTTCCGACTTTTAAGTTTTGAAAAGTTTGAAAATATTTTATTTATTTTATTCTTCGTTGAGTTGAGAAATTAAAAGTTTATCTTTCTTTTGTTTTTGTTATTTTTCCATTTTCCATTTTATCAAAGTTTTATAAATTTACATTTTGGACAGCTTGGAGGAGGGGAAATTCTTTTAGAGATATATTATGTGCCTTTCTTTCTATCCAACTATCTATCTGGACAAGTTTTTTCTTATTTTAGGGACATTTTTTACTTTTTTTCTTCTTCATAATTTTTTCTTTTCTTATTTTATAATTTTTTCAAATTTTAGTGTCTTCTAATGATGATTGATTCGCATCATCATAATTTCAATAGAAGTAAATATTTCCATTTACTGCTATAGCGCCGATATAAGGATTTATCTCTAATTGGATAATGAGCTAGATAGAAAGATAGACGTTACCGCCATGCAATTTCTATTGGTTCAGAATAAGTCGCCTAGTTCTTTACCAGAGTAATATTATAAACAATTATAAAAAGTACAACTAAAAAACTAAACTACAAGTTATAAAATTAACAAATTATATTGGAATTGGTTTGTAAAATCAAAAATGAAGACTTCCACATGCATTATAAAAGATATACATTATAAAAGATAAAACTTGTACGATGTACATATATGTATTGTAGTGTTTCCTGTACAACAATCTAAATCAAACTGTTGTTTTGACTTTTTTCTTAATATTCTACAAAATCCGTCCCCCCCCCCCAAAGAATAACCATTAAAAATGTCCTTGCTCTAGGCTGGGGAAATGGGAAGAGGAAAATTTTCTGAAAAAAAAGTGAAGAATATTTTCCCCTGGGTTTAATACATCACTTCCCGAGGATTGTATTAAAGGGCCGCTGATAGAGACAATCTTAAAGAAATAGCTGCGGATATAAACCTCTATTTTAACCTCTAAAATCCTCGTAAACCAGGGAAAAGAATAGTTAGAAGCCTCCTCATATATTCCTTACCTTTAAATCCGCCAAATAAATGCGAACAAATCCGCCATTTCAGCAAAAATAAAAATTCTGCAAAATTGTTTGAAACTGGCAGTTTGGTGCAGTAACTCTGATATCACGGCGCGGCCACTAAACTCAACAAATCTGGGAAAGTTCACAAAATTTCTCCAAAATGGGATTTTTATATCTCCGATTCTTCTCCCGACCCGGGGTTCAAAATAACATAGTTCGTCCAAGTGTTGTGTTTGTGAGTGTAGGGAATGAGTGTGTGTCCGTGTATCAGCTTGGGAGACACGATGGAACTGACTGAACCGAAATGTTTCGGAGCTGTGAGCCGCCGACTCTATACAATAATATTCATATTTAACCCCCTTCCCCCACCTCAAATCACAACATCACATCAAAAATTGAATTTTTCAAATTTAAAAAGGAAAGATTTTCTTACAAATTTATTTCATTAAAAGCATAGTTTTAAATCTTTTATTGATTTTTTTTCTGAACATTTTAATATAATTCATGGTTTTCAATGGCGTTTAATATGATTTTCAATTTGTAAAAATCTTATGAATATTAAAATTTTTAAAACGGTAATGTGCAAGCTTGAGTTTGTGAGTGTGTAGAATAAGCCCCCCATACCCCCGGGAGGGGGAGGAGGAGGGGGCTTGAATAAGGGGTGCTTCAGCCTCCTTGGTGTCCTCAAGAGAAGAGCGGACGGACCGGGACGATTTCACATCTTGAGCTGGTTGAACCGGGGGGAGGGGCGGGTTGGACCCCGACCCGTCACGGCCTAGTCTTTAACTTTGCTAAAGGAACAAGGAGGGGAATTCTTGGTAAAACTTCATACAGACCAGTTTAAATGGCCGACCAAAAAATCCGCAATTTCAATTTCTCGACGCAGCTGAAATTTATCAGAATTAAAATGGTTTCCGAATACTTTTTTTTGATTAAAATTGTGTTTCAATTAAAGTTTTCAAATTCAACTTTAATTTAAATCAAACAGAATAAAATAAAATGTTGAAAATTCAATTAAAGTTTCCCACAGTTCCATGTTGTTTTAAATCAAATATTGCGGAAATGCAAAAATTTTATTTAAGTTTAAATGTACTTTGACCATTTTATAAGTTTTATAAATTTCAATTTAAAACTTTACTTACTTCAATACACGATTGAAAGGATTTATAATGATAAACTCAACATTTTCCGGCATTTTTAACTAGACTATAACTCAACTCATCCTTTTTTATGTATGTCCGTTTATACCTTAGGAACTGAACCGACTTGGCTCAAATTTTAATTGGGAGCCTGGTATAACCACGGGAATGGTTTTAGTTCAGCTTTAAAAAGTCTTAGTTGATGATTGAGTGCAGGTTGACTTTTAGATGGAAAATTTAGTTTCTAGACAAAGCTGGGTTTCCAAACCAGTATTTATCTATAAAAAACATAAATATTCCATTGCGATTAAAAGTTGCAAGCTATCAAGCAAAAATCGATGAGAATTTTGCCAATTACTTCTTAAAAACCAAAGCTAAAAACAAGTGCTTTATAAACATGTCCACAGAAAAGCGTAGGTGAGTTAGAGCGGTAAAATCAAAACGCAAGACATTGTGACACTTGAAAGTTGATCCTGTCCTAATATTTGATGAGACTTTTTATAAGCAGGCTGAATCTATGTGATTCCACTTACGAAAAATAAAATCTCCATTTAGGCCGTCTTGCTCATTGGCATAGTGAAAACTTAGAAAATATTAAAAAAAGATTAAAAAATTTATGAGACACTAGCTGAAGGGCCCGGCGTTGCCCGTAGAATTCGATTTTTTAGCCTATAGCATCCCCCGGCCACCCTTGAGTGTCCACAAAAAAATTCAGCTCAATCGGTCCAGCCGTTTGTGCCGGCTGTACGCAACATATATAGTATATACGAATGTCTTTTTTATATAGAAGATTAAAATACTTTTTTTATGAAATCCCCCCCCCCCTGTACCTCAGATACTATAAATTGAACGAATGAAAAGGAATCTTTGCCACTAACTCTGATTTTATAATCCAATATCTTTGCAACCCAATGGTAGTATAGTTAGAAATATCAAAGGTCTACAGTCTACACTCTCCAGGATGCAAAAGGGATTACAAAGTATGAGTTTGTGGCAAAGATTCAATACCTATGTTTTTAAAGCCACATAACATTAAACAGTTCCAAACACATGTAACTCGAACTAAGAAGGGGGGTGGGGGCGAAACTTTAATTAAAATTACTTAATCATCAAACTTAAAATGCCCATATTGGACATCAAGATCAAGCGTTAAAGGTTAACGATACTCAATACAAAAGACAGAAAAAGCAAGAATATCAAGGGCTAAAAGATACAAAAATAAATCTTTAAAAAATATTTTACTTTTGTTCATCTTAGCTTTTTGTTTTTCTCTCAACTTGTTTCAATTTATTGTTTTCAGCAATCAACCCCTCTTCATATCTTCCATCTTAAACCCCCTTGAAACAAAGTCCGTAGGGAATTTAATCCCTCTCACCTAGCCAGTTCCAAAGACTATGTCGTACAAGACACTCTCACCTATCCTGTTCCCAAAGACTATCTGCTACAAGACTCTCTCACCTATCCAGTTCTAAAGACTATAAAGTACAAGACACTCTCACCTATCCTGGTCCGAGTACAAGACATCCACATATCCTGGTCAAAAAACTATGTGATACAAGACACTTTTCCTTTTACAAAGACTATATAATGTAAGACACACTCACTAAACCAAAGACTATTGCATCGAAGAATTAAGTTTGTTGCAACTGCTAAACGCAGATCTAGGTGGAAGGAGAAAGAATAATTGTAATATATTAATATCATATAAATACTAGCTGAAGTATCCGGCGTTGCACGTGGAATTTCGAATTTTGAAAAAAATTAAATTTGAGAAGAAAAAATTTAATTTCATTTTTGTTAATCAAAGATTTCCTCAAAATTTCCGCCAATTTGGTTCAGCCGTTTGGCCAGCTATAGCTAATACCATATATATATAAACATACAGGGTAAGTTAAAAAAAATTTGATTATTGACTTCTGGTGCAAAATTGTACCTTTATTTGTGCAACTCTCCTGGACAGTATTTTTTCAATATTTTTTTTCTTCTCTTATGGCCCGAAAAAAATCCGCGAAACTTTTTTTCTCTTAAAATCAAAATTTCAGAATGGCAAAATTGTGTACATATATATTATTTCTATTAAATTCCAAAATATTATAAATATTAGATCACAGAATCACAGAAAATTCGCAAAATTGTAGTGTGAAAATTCACAATTTTCAGTTTCGGTCTTAATTTTTAAGGAAAAGTTGTCTTTCAATGAAACAAATTTACAAAGAGAAATACTAGCTTTGGACCCTGGTATGGTTCTGAAGATTAGAGCGGCAAAGTGTTTACAAAACAAATGAAGGGCATTTCAAATTAATTTAACCAGTTAACTGTGAATTTTTATTTTTCATATCTTCCAAGTTTTTTAACCAATATTTATAAAGTTTTAGAATTTGATAGAAATGATAATAAATACACATTTTTGCTTTTCTATATTTTTTATGTTGAGAGAAATAAAAGTCAAAAGTTAAAAAAAATATATGAGCAGCTTTATTGCATAAATATTTAATAGTTTATATCTTAATTAGGTCTTAATTCCTAATTCACTAAAATATGCCATGACTATTACAATACTAAACAATTCACATATTGGTTTTAAAACTTTTTAGATGAAAGTATTTGAGAAGAAACATGAGTTTATAAGGTTTCGAGTTTATTCGTCTTGAAAAAAGTCTCTGGTAGAAACTGTAGATTCTGTGGATACTTGTAGACTCTGGTAGAAACTGTAGATTCTGTGGATACTTGTAGACTCTGGTAGAAACTGTAGATTCTGTGGATACTTGTAGATTCTGGTAGAAACTGTAGATTCTGTGGATACTTGTAATTAAAAGAAAAGTCAAAGATTTATATCTCAAATACACTCACAAAACCCACACCTTACTTTTTCACTCATTCACTCATTCACTCATTCACTTTTTCCCTCATTCACTCATTCACTCACTCACTCATCCTCTCATTCACTCATTCAAACAATTACTTATTCACTCATTCACTCATTCACTCATTCACTCATTCACTCATTCACCCATTCACTCATTCACTCATTCACTCATTCACTCATTCACTCATTCACTCATTCACCCATTCACTCATTCACTCATTCACTCGTTCACTCATCCTCATGTTCACTCATTAGTTCATTCACTCATTCACTCATTCACTTATTCACTCTTTCACTCATTAACTCATTCACTCATTCACTTTTTCCCTCATTCACTCATTCACTCAATCAGTCATTCACACTTTCACTCACTCACTCATCCTCTCATTAAGATACATTAAGATAATTTGCAGTATGCTTATTAAGTTAATGTTCCCAAATCATGATTTTTAACAATAAGTTTTCAGTAAATATAGAGAATAAAATCTGGACAAAATTTTTTTTTGACAAAATCAAAATGCAAGACTTAAAAAATGTTGAGAAAAATTTAACTATTTTATTGTTAATGTGACTTTAAGTGACCCTCCATGCAGAGATGGCAAATCTAGATTTACAACCTAAAAGCTTTGCCTGTTTAAGTATGAATGAGAAATTCATGTTTATAATTGTCAAAACATGATTATGGTTTCTCTCCTAAAATACCGAAACAGTTCCTTTTAAGCGCAGATTTTAGAGTTGTCAGACATTTTAGAAAACTTTAGGTTCTTTAAGAAAATAATAGAAGTTGGGTTCTTAAAGTCGTCTTTCTTTTCCAATTTATTTTCGGGAACACTGTATCTATTTAAGAAGAGAAATCGAATCCCCGTTTTCTTATCAATCTTTATCTATAAATACTCTTAAGTTTTTTAAAAGAACAAATTTCATCAACAGCGGGGAGTTTTTGTTTAAATTATTTTATCTAAATATATTGGTTTTATGCTTTTTAATTGAGCCTAAATGACATTCTATATTTAGTCAAAAGTAGATAAATAGAAATTTTCTGAAATTTTTATTTGAAAACGTTTTTTTTGTATTCCCCCTTTAAACCTCTATAGCTCGTAGCAATAAACCCTTGAAACAGCTGAGGTCGCAAGAATGGTGTTTGAAGAAGATTTAACTTTTATCCAAGAAAAAAGAGATCAAATTTTTAGTTGTATTGTAAAGTTCGAAACAGTTAAAGAGTCTAATACGACCTTTCAAGTCTTACTTTCATAGGGACTACAGACTTAATTTCCACTATAGTTTCAGTA